GATATCATAAGTTGGAGGATGACAACCGAGCCTTCTGTATACGTGCCGATATTTCATTAGTGACGCGTCAGCCAGATGAGATATAGCTGTCAAGATAGCAAAATTTATCCACCTCCTCTATTATTTTATCGGTTGGGTTGAGGTCGCGGGCTGGGTCAACCCAATCTTGTAAAAATATTTTACACTTTGAAGAGGCGAAACATATACTTAATATAGGTACAATAGTATTCAAGCTATCTTCCTTTAGTAGCACTGTATCTGGGTATAGCTGGAAGTATTCCCACTGGTGCGAGCCGAGAAGCCTAATGTCGTCCACAAAAAAATGAACGACGGGTAAAATGGGCGGGGAGCTAGGTCGTTGATGAGTACCAGGAACAGCAATGGTCCAAGGACCGAGCCTTGGGGAACTCCACTATACGCATGTCCGCAGCCCGACCAAGTCCCTTCTACCTTAATGCGAAAGGTGCTCCCCGTCACCTGACTAAACTAGGGTGGATGACCATTATCGTTAGCTTTCCCAGCAGCAGCCGGTAGTTCGCTGAGTCTAAGGCTTTACTGAGGTCTGAATAGCAGACTTTGACTCCCACCTCTCTGTCAAGATGTTCTGTCACGCGGTCCAGAAAGGTTAGCAGATTGGTGAAGCAAGATCCGTCACAACTTAGGAGAGCAAACGTCAATCATAAACTGATGCGTTCAGTTAGTGCTACAGGGTATCAGATCAGACGAGATTAGGTCTTCAGTTCCGTTGGAATTCTGGAGTTCGAATGTATGTGACTCAAGAGCGAGAGAGAGAGAGAGAGCGAGATCACATGGCACTGGGATGTGATAACTTTCTGATTACGAAAAGTGTCAAAGTGCAACTGGCATCAAACACGTACAACATGGCGTGTTACACACGTCCAGCATGACTTACCCGAGGCACCGTGAACAGACCGACCGGTTTGGGAATTTTCACACCGAGCAATGTAGTTACCTGACTGGTGAGGACGTGTGTAGCAACACCGACTGTGAACCCGGATGTCATCGGCCCGGAAAGGTATCGAATCACACTGCCCATGCGGAAAATACCCATCGCAAACTACAGAGGATGAGTGTGAGTGATGCGTTATAATGCAGGCAATTATGCGATGGGGATAGTGATAATGATTTTCTTATTTAAAACTGAACTCAGATTAATGAGAGAGGGAAATAGTAGGATTCTGGGGAAGCGCAAGACAACAATATCTTGGGTCACAAAGTCACAAACTAGTAATTGGTTTCATGATAACCTACTGAAAACACTGTAGCGAACAACGCTCGGGCTAATACGTCTATTTTAGGGTTCAAAATTGTCAAACTAGAGTAATGGTTTGATGTGATGAATATGATTAGTTGATTGTGACCTTGGGATAAACCCATCCAAAGCTGTTCGTCAACGGCACCTTGCTACAGCCGAGGCGGTGGTTACTCGCCTACTCATTCCACCACTTTGTTCTCAGAAGCGATTCGTTCAAACACTTCGCTTATCCTGGCCTTGTCCTGACACAGCCGACCGAAACAACCGTGACCTATGGCATAAATCACGGATGCAGACCGGAAATGGAACAGCTCGCTCAATCGAGCAACTGTGAACATTTCCAAACCACATATTAGAAGATCCCAATCAACCAATCATATTCATCGCATTAGACCATTACACAGGTTTGACAATTTTGAACCCTATATATATATATAAGCTTTAGGAGGAAGTTATCGAAAACAAGCTTTTTCGTTATAGTGTTTTCTTGATGGGAATATTCAATAAACTATTAACTTGTTTTATTTCTCAAAATACCGCAGTGGCACCAATCGAAAGAAATCACAATTTAGCGAATTGGTTAATACATCACATTTTATTTTTTTGCACCATGTGCAGAATAAAAAAGAACAATTCCATGGGGCATGTTTCGGGTATCTAAGTTCCACAAGGTGGATGTGGTCGTGCCTGATATCAGAATTTTGTTCGGAATGTGTTACTCATATGTGATAGGGTGTGGTGAGCCAGTATCATTTGTATGAAAATGTCAAATGGATGTAACATACACTAATCACACGTGAATTTAATTGACAGGATCCTGTTTGATGTGGGTAAAAGCTGGTTCCGGTCAAAGATCACAACTGGTGCATCACACAAAAACACCCGATGAAGTTTGATTGATGCCTTGTGTATAATGAAAAGTGTCTGATTGAAAACCAAAAAGGGTACAAAACACAGGATCTGCAAAACCGATATGTCTAAGGTCTAACGGGCAAAATCGACCGTGCGGATTCACAGAATCGGATGCAAGTATTCAAGAGACGTGGAGGACTACATGATAAAAGACCGTCGCAAGTTTTCACAGCGCTAAGTGTATCACCAAGTTGAAAAAATAACCGTTGCAGACAACTCGCGACCACAACACAATTTCTTTTCACAGTTAAACATGTGTTCCGATATAGCTCCATCTAGTAACTAGACCATATGCACACACACACACGTATCAAGCGAGAGCAAGATATACAACATAGTTGTCAAGTATGTAGAAAGGAACGGATAAACGAAAACCCACAGAAGCCTGGTGGGTTGTCATTAGTTGCGCAAATCCCCAGAGGACTGGAACCTGGGACTTCAAACGAAAAGTTCACATATCATAGAAAACAGCCAAATAACGTCTTCCGGCCAGCAGAACATGCGTGGAAATGGCACACTATACCTGTGAAATACCGACAGTCATTGTGAGAGCTGTGGCGTAACGGACTCGGAGCGCAGTCGGATCCAAGCTGTCATTGCTAGCCATCAGGAATGAATGGTTCAGATCGGCAGAGCTGGCACTGGCTGGAACCAAAAACAATGTACGGAACAATTATGGCGTGAGAAGAGAAATGCCCATTAAAATGGCAACATGGAGGGTTAAATAAATAAATAAAAAACAATGGTGATAATGATTCACAGTGAAATACCCATATACTTGTCGAGGGAACGACGCCCACATTAAAAACAAAAAGTGTCGCGGGATCTGTCTCCTGAAGCACCTCTTTCTTCTCATGGTGAGGATATTTGCTCTAATTTCAGAAAGTTTATAGTCAGCGTTTGAAAACCTGATTCCCATTTTGCCAAGTCAAATCGTAAGATGCAGGATATTGTTCTAGGCCGCTATGGTCACTGGCTCGATCGGGTCAGAGGCTGTAGTAAACACTCTGAACGGGTAAGTAACATCTGACCAGGTACTTGTCCTCCAATGAACTGCGGTTTTCACACACACACACACACATACACACACACACAGACACACAGACACACACCACTTCACTGCTTTGGGGATCAAGCTCTATTGAGAGGAATGATTCAAATAAGAATACTTAAGAACATTCAATATATTCGGCGTTGTTCAAGCGACTGCAGGCAAATGGTGGACACGTTCTCATTACTTAGGGATTACTTAGGTACAATAACTTGTTTAGCATGTCGTCTGAATACGGACTGTTGTGGAACAAGAAGCGAGAATAACACGAGATGGAAATGAATACGGACAAATTACCACAAACAACGTGGAATGAAAGCTTCAAATCCGTGATTTTGGTGTCGAATCGTACAGTGGATCTTACGGGAAAGTGAATAATCACCATGGGACAGAAACAACGAATATAAATATAATGAAATAGGAATAAGGCAAATGAAACAATATGGGCACACTTGATATTGGCCATCGACTTCACATGTTCTCAATCAGCTGTCCACGCACATTAAATTAGTTAGAATGTAATAGGAATAAATTGCTGTATTTGAACATTCATATAATTACGCTGGTTAAATAACAAAATCTTTTTGGTTGGTAAGTCTTTACCAAACTCATTTGGAGATGAGTGAACGAAGACGCAGGTGGGTGGGTAATGATTATACAGGTCACAAAAAGGGGATACTGGCTTTGAAACAGTTATATAATGAGAAACGATTAACCGTAGACCAAAGCGAATTAAAAATGTTTACATAATATCATATAGAACAGCAGTTCATTCAGATAAAACCAGGAATTATTTAAAAGGAAAACAGCAAGGTAACGGAATTGAGAATTGGTCAATCAAACGGGTCAAACGAGTTACGTAACACGGAAGTGACAAAGATGAAACGTCTATGAGATTCTTAAAAGGTTTATATACATTGTTCAACGTGGTTGGTGAAAGTATTCGACTAGACTTAGAAAAACTCACTCAATGCAAGTCCGAATTATTCTGAGTTAGACCTTTAGAGGTAATAATCCAGTACAGAACAATTGTTCACTCCACAAAAAAATACTATTCTGGATATCGTGCAAGAAGATATACTTGCAAATTGTGAATTATACAAACTACAGATTGAGACTTTGAATAAATTGACGATGAAGAACAAAAGGGGTGAGAAACCACGGGTCGATAAATGCTGCGAAATGCACCAGAAGTTATTCTTGCATAGACTTTTACTCGCGAAATTTGCCATTCGTTAACTCAGCGCAGAATCATCATGTTATTATCAGAAATAATAAGCATTGGTTGAAATAATCGAGTTTAATGACCTCACCATTAGAACATCATAAAAAATATTTCGGGATTAAAAAATGTATCCAATCGTGTCAAACAAAACGTAGAAAACACGTTTATTGAACATACCGCGTAGATCTAATTGACTTGGTACCATCTTGTCCAGAAATTCACCGGTTAAAAGACTAACCACAGCAATTGTACCTAGAAGACCGGGGAAGGGTTGGATGTGTGTGTGTATGTGTGAGAGTAGGAAAGAGAGGGAGATATACCGAAATAAATAGCAACCGAGAGTACATCATATCACTTTTGTTTCTATCTAGCATACTAAACAGAACTGAAAAAGGTCAAAATTAATAAGGAGTGAATGCTACGCTAAACGGATTTTAACTTTTGGGGTTTTTCTCGAAATGCCCCTAATGAGCTGCATTCAACGTTGCATCTTGTTCTCTTATCATGGATATTTTAACTGAAGTGAGAGGACAAGAAGACAGTTTTCGTGTTGTGAGGTATTACTCACATTTGTAAGTGGAACGCAAAAGGTTGCAATTGGCGGTTTCTTTAAAAGGTCGAAAATGAACGAGAACTCTTGGAGCAAATCGCTGTGTTTAAGATGATAACTACGAACTATTCCATTGTTTATCCTGTGTACCGCTTGGAACAGGGATGATATGTTCAAAATGAGGCATCTTGTGATATGTACACCAAATAATTCATACCCTAACCGTGGTTATAGTAATGAGGCATTCTCCTCGAGCAAACTCCAGTCTTCTGGAATTATAACACCCGGAGCCCATGACCCAGCTGATGAGTTACCTGCAGTTAGCTCTTCAAGGGGAGTTGGGAAAATCTGATTCCAAAGCATGAGCTGCTTCCAGAACCACTGGATACCTGATCATCGAGTTGTTTGGGCTCCCCAGGCATGGGAGTTCTGATGAAAGAAGTATGACTCCACCGATGAAGTGTAGCTCCTAATGGAATGTGGACTTGAGCTGCGACCTCACTACTGTATGATTTACGCTATGCAATCACGGAATATCGCGAACTATTACTGCAATACTCACCAACTATTTCATAAATCGATCACAGTTCACACGTTAACTTGGTCGATCCTCCTCTTCCTTACTTTTGACACAGGGCGTATTACAGGGTGCCATTTTATCCCCGTTCTTCCTTTCCACTTACATTTCATCCATTCCTACTTTCCAAAACTCCCTGCTTCTAAATATTCGGACGATGTTGTGGTCGGAATCACCCACCCTGATGCATCTGTCACCCCCACCCTCCAACTTATTAACCTTGCTCAGTGGTCTATTGAGCATAACTCTCAATCCCTCTAAATGTGTAGACATGTTGTTCTCACTTCACAGAGGGAACCGTTATGCTAATCTCTTGGAATCTTTTCCCCCTTTGAAGATAGGCAAGGACACCATTGTCCAACCCCCAAACGTCAAGTATATTGGTGTGTTAATAAACCGAAACTTATGTTGGTCTGACCAAGTTGTCTCTGTATTTTTAAAGGTCAGAAAACTATCATTTTATGTCTTACGACTGAAAACATTATCCGTCCCTCGCTTCTTGATTAAACGTTTTCTTTTTGCCTGTATTTCACCTCTATGTTTGTATCAGTCCCCAGTAATCTTTCCAGGGATGCTCAAAAATGACTTTACACTGCTTTCAAGATCATTAACACATTTATCAAGAAGTAGCGGGATTTCCCGTAAAACTATCTGTCATTTCATCATTTCCCAACATACAAAGTCATGCTTTTCGTTGTCAACAAAAATCATGGATAACCCTTCACATCTATTACATCAAGATCTTATCAAGTGTGTTTCCTCCTCTTCCACCCGATCCCATTATAAGTGTATATTTGCTCGTACGACCGCTTATCGGTCTTCTGTGGTGCCCTATCTTGCCCGTTTTCTTGTCAGCGCAGAAAGCATTGCGTCGGCCCTTACTCAGTTATCTCGTAAATTGTTTTCATTTTCACTGCTCACGATAATTATGTTATAATTTTGTTCGATAATTGTTAGATGACTATGTGACTGCTGAATATCCACCTTTCGGGGTGCATAAAGCAAATATTTGACCTGACTTGAAAACGAACATAGGCTGCAATCAACGGGTCAACTTTTGGCAGAAACGAAGCAGCTGAGATGCAAAGCCATTTATTTCCAATTTAGGCCGCGCTAGTATGTCTCGATCACAGTTTAGTGAACTGTTTTGGTAACTAAACTTAAGTCCAGTAGCGCGGAATGCTTTTATCTCCTTATTTCGCTATTTGCACGAAACCAAACTGGGTGGCTGATACATCATCTACCTAGTTGTTGGTATGGAAACGCCCGATTGGTGGCATGCTTGCCAGTAAATGAAACACTTGAAAGCAACATTTTGTAAATGCATTGGGGTTTGGTGGACGGGTACTGCTAGGGTGTCCAGCCACTAAGCAGGAGAACGATTAGGGTTCCCTTCCAAAGCCTTTAGTTCTAACAAGAACCTAACCTCAAGGCAGCGGGTGAGGCGAAATGGAGGCCCATTTACTTGGATCGACTACTCCTCCACCGCTTTTTAGCGACTGAAACGCCAATCCTAGTCGAACCCCCAACCTGTAGGTCCAGGAGACTGAACTTCGTCTGACCTCTACCCATTGACCTTCCAGGCATGATAAGATCTCCTGGCTTTATGAAGCCATCCTGTGTAGCTCGTTGGGTCACAGAGGTGGACAATCCATCACACCACGTCAAGGTGTAGTCTCGTCGTGATGGTTCCTGCTCCCGTGGGCTCCCATGATCACCTAAAAATCTGTGGGAAAAACTCAGCATTACTTATCCTGTTTCCCCAAGAAATGTAATGTAGACAGCGACGTTCGAACACCGGCAATCGGTCTTTATCCTGTTATCTTGATGGCCTAGTTTCTGTACCGTAGAGCAGAACTGGACGAGCTGTTGTCCCTTCAAAGACAGTAACTAGTGGCGGTATCTTCTCTTGATATCTGAGAAAAGGGTTCTCTAAACAGGTTAGGAACCGGCACATATTCATCGTCTGCCAATGGATCTTTTGCAGTTTTGAAGGGACCCTTGACCACCGCACGCGGGGGCACTCTCTCACGTTGTCAGTTGGTCCTCCGTTAGTCTACCGGCTCTCGCCTAGGTCAGCAACACTCTGGAATTCCCTTCCAGCGATTGTGGTGGAAGAGAAGACAGACGCTGCTTTCAAACGGCGTCTGGATGAGCACCTGAAGGGGTTATGGAGGAACGAACACTTGTGATCGGACCTTCGACCCAGTGTTGATAGGGCTTACACGGGCACCCTGCCCTCTGCCCTCAATCCTGAAGACTGAAGACTAATTTTTGTTCGATTTCTCCCGTGCCAAAATTCAGTAGATAAAATCTTCACTTTCCGTTATGTAGCAGTAATCTGAACATACAACAATGGACCTTTGACCTGCGAGAGTTGTATAGTATTTAGTTGTATAGTCACTGTTACTCATGGTGTATTAACGAGAACCGTTGGGCCGAAACTGGCGATGACGCAACATACGGTCAGGTTCGGGATTGTACCGATAAGCAGTTACGAATCATCTACCAGTCATGCTCCATACCAGATGTCTTTACAGTCCATGTGCTGAGATATTCAAGTTAAACTTGCTGTATACCGCGTAAGTAAAAAAGTAAATAGTGAATTAAGCAATTCTTCTATTTGCAGTATGCAAATGTACACGCAGCCGGTCCGTAGACCGGCGAGCAGGTCAGGAGTCAACGCAAAAGCAAGCAGACCAAGCACTGGCATATGTATTACCAAAGAGCGGGAAGCCGTCAAGCTGAGCAGTCAACGAACCAATCAATGCGGACAGATCAATATTGACATCTGATTCGCTGAGGCTGACCGACCTTGTAGTAGAGTAAATCCGCATGACGTGCGTGCGTGCGTATGGTGGCAGCCGGCGTTGATCAATCATGTGATGCGCGGTAAACATGTCGGCCAATATGTACCATAAAATCACAGCACCAACAAGACAGTTGTTAGCCTTTTCAGTTTACCCGGCAGCAAGAGTTTGATTGCGCAATAACACAGACTAAAAAAACGCAAAGAAGTAGTTGCACTGTGGTTACATCAAGAGACGAACCCGATCGGACAGAGCAAATAGAGTATTACTCGACGTTCCATTCGACCTTCGTTTCCAGTACCCTCGAAACTTGGCACAACTAATGATGCTAAAATAACGAACCGGGTGAATATGCGTTATTTATTGACCTTGGAGATGTTCTAGAACAGCTGTCCTCTATTTGTCACTAATCGCATGCAGCCATAAAAGCGATCTAAATGATCACTTGTTCAACGTGATTTGTTTGTTTAAGTTTGATTGTAAGCAGAGTGTAAAGTCTACCAGACACACCTAATCTGTGGTGAATTTTGTTCCTTTATTCAGGAGGGCGTGGTGATCCTCCCAGAGACTTGTCAGGAGAAGGGATTGATTCAGTTGAGGAACCGTTATTGAATGTAATCATCCGTTATCTTATGAAAAAATTCAAGTGTTTTTGCAATCTGACGTCTCTTGTGCAAATGAAAAATTCTCTGGTAACAAATTTTCCATGTTGACAGACGAAATGCACCATAGAGAAAAACAATCGGTATCATGTGACCAACTGAGATAAATGTTTGTGGGCGTTTGTGTGAACGGTGAGAATGGTATGAGTAGACAATGTGTACAAATTCGGGTCAGGTGATTAGATTAACACAAACCCATGGGCTGGATTCAGTCAGGCAAAAAGGAACACATCTAAGATTTACCAGTATGCACTTTTGGATATTGGCAAAACCGCAAACATGATAAAACAACAGAAGCGGTTTTTTTAAACTCCGGAGATGATACTCAACGTTTAGAGTCCGTCTCCGTCTATTTAATCCAAACATCAACCTCGTGCAGCGGTTTTGGTTACTCTCGTTTGGCCAGCAATTTACTCGATCGACGAGAAAGAAGTAAATGAAGAGGTGAAAAACTGAGAGGATTTTCAACATGAAGATACATGCTGAAGTTTAACTCCAGGTGCGCATATACTAAATGCCCACAGACGTCACATCATTCGGTGAATCCAGTCATCCCAAGGAAGTTTGATGTAACCCACATGAATGGATCTCTTGATCAGGGTCTTCAAACCGTCGTGTCAAGTGATATTCTGCTTTGGAAAATGAGGAATATCGACAAGTGAATGGATTGCAAACATCCGAAGAGCTACCGAGAACTGTTTGTTTATGTGTGTGGTTGCCGACATAATTGGTTCGTTCAAGGTTGGTTCAAAACCCCTCGATATAACTTATGTAAGTGTTACACTTGAGTTCTCAGTTAGATTATACAACGCGAATGATAGTAATAAAACGGAGGTAATGTTTGCTGGTTTAATTCAGTTAAAGAATGAATTCTGTCACCAAATCACACCTTTCACCACTTCCTCCTAAATGAGAGTTAGGTATGGGATGTTTCCGGCAGAGCTGTTTCCTCTAGGGGCTACTTCTAAGATGATCTGGTTGTAGGTTAGTCACCAGAAGGTTGAAAAGATGAGTTGTATCACATCAATGAAGTAAAGCAATGTGAACCGGTGGTCTCTTGGAGTTAGGAGGTTTTTCACTTGCGTGCAGTCCGGGCATTCGGGGACTCACTATCCGGTTAGTTCCACGGACATAAACTGCTGTTGATGATAAGTAACAAGTATATGGTGTTTCCCAGTATAAAATCAAATTCGTAAAGCATATTTACTTTTGGTCCATTAGGTTTGTGACAAGATCAACCTAACCTGTATGGATCTCTCGAGTTGGTGGAAAGCTCGTGAATGGTGTTAACAACTAGTCAACTTTCTTCCCCGAGCCAGAAAAATGAACATACCGGTTGCCATTGAAGACACTTGAGTGCACCTAAATAGATAATTATCTTCTGCCTGGATGTGAGCTGACTGATACATGGGTACCACAAGTCTTCCTTGCACTGGCTCCGGATTTTGTATCCCAGATAGGAGGGCAGATGTGTACTAGTAGTAAACTTTAGGAGAGCCAAACTCGCTTCTAGCTCTCCAAGAGTGTGTGATTGATTTCACGAACTCCGAAAGCCTCAGCATGTTCGAGGTTGGGTTTCTTTCTCAGGTTGCGGCTGGTCACCATTTCCTTGCACCTCGTGAAATGCTTCCATACGATAAAGCTCTTCTTAGGAAGCCCTGCTCACTGCCTTCCATGGGAATGGTGTTTGTCCACCGAAAGAAAAGGATGGAGAGCCAACATTCGGGGTTATAAGCAGATCAAAGAACCACTGGCAGTTCATCTAGGGGAGTTGGCTAGTTATTCTAATTGCAAACCAATCAAACAGAGGTATGAGAACCACAGACACCTTTCTGGTTGTTGCTTTGGGCACCAGTTTGATTGATTGTTGAGGTGCATTGGGTACATTTGAACCCGTTCGAAATGTGTATGGTCTGATGAAAAAACAGACTCCCAGTGGATTGCAGTTTTTACACACCGTTTCGCTGACTTGGGTGTCAAACTGCGACTAGTCAAAGGCTCCGTTTGTGAATTCCCTCCAAAATATTCACCTACTTTGGCCTGGGATACCTGACATTATCGCACCCGTAGGCAAATAATTGAACTTTTCCTTTCTTATAAAGATTATTGTACCGTGGTTTGTTTGGTACACTGTTTGTACGGTCCGAGGAGAAGGCGAGCACTGAGTGATGCTAGGTGTTGTAGCGCTCCGATCCAGACATATATATTCAAAAGCTTGAATATTTCCATGATACCATATATATTCCCATATATATATATACATATATATTCCCATTTTCACACTGTGCAAATACAGTAACTAACAAATGTCTGTTTTGGATAACTTCTTCCTCGGGCTAATACAGTTATATATATATATATCTGTAAGGGTCTGATTTAATGCATATGATTGGTTAATTGTGATGTGATATGTGGTTTGGCAACGAAGGAACATAGTTTTGTTACTGTTATGGTGTGGTTTGACAATGTCAACAGTTGATGGATTGGTTAAGGTGTTACATTTTCAGAACACTCAATCTACCGTTAATATATATGTATAATATGAATAATGTAAAATATATATATAACTGCATCGTCCCAGGGAAGAAAATATATATCTTTATATACGAAATGAGAGTTGTTTGTGAAGATCAAATCTGAAGGACTGTTAGTTACTTGTGGATGGGGGTGTGGTACAGGTAATATTGATTTGGACTAATTGTAATATAGCTGGCTCCAGAAGTAACACTATCACGCGAACCTAATTGAACAGAATGGGTGGCCTGAACGATGGCTTTAACAAACAGGGGCTCAGCACTAAATTCAAGTTTACCAGATTATAGATCAACGGTGTTTCGCTCCCTTCCACACAGTGAGAAGTACATATCCTTTTCACTTAGGGATCCTGCTTGGTAGCTTACTAACTCCAGAAGGGGTTTCAGCTCTAGTGACTAGGTATCTAAACACCGTGATCATTCATTTCAACCAAGCGTTTATAACGGTTGCTGAAGGAATGGTAAGAATCTGTTTTAAAGTAAATAAAGCAATGGTCATTAAACAAAGTTGCAGACAGTTAGTTGAGAAAAATATCAGTCCCAAAACTGAGCAATTTATGGATATATGAAACAAAGACTGTCGAAATATCAGGCTCATTATCTCAAAATAGTACCGGGTAGCCGGATCAACAATGGTGTGTGTGTGACAGTTCTGTTTCCAGATTCTTGGGTTCACCGGAGAGAGATTTTCATAACCATTTCCACCACAAGAGTGATCGAATAACTTCTCAGTGTGTATGTTTTTTGCTCTATAAGTACACCACAATGAGAGGGGAGAAGATAAAGACATTACAAAAATTACCGTTGCTCATTAAAGCGTGATGACCTCAGCTAGTCCATGATCTATGCTGTCTGTTTCCAGATTCGGTCCATGGATCATCAATACGTTCGTCATGAGGTCATTTGTTCGAAATCTACTAGCATCGTCCAAATTGTTTACATCTTCATATCGCGTGAAAACAGTTGGATTGGCCAAAGACCCCACTGGAAACTGATTTTACATCAGCAAGAAAGAAATCACATTCGACATTGCTTGATAGAGCAGCAAATGTCGCAGCAAAATGTCTGGTGTATCACCATACAAAATCGTCTCTTGTAAAAAGACAGCTTCGATGGTATGGAGTTCTGCCATGGCAGAACATACTATCGTGTGTAATATCTTCAAGGTTATTTTTCAGTCGGTCCGTTCACTGTTTGCCCCAATTATCCCGGCTGAGACAAAATCGGTCTCTTGTACACCGCGGGGAGAAAACATGAATGAACAGAAAAACCAGAGAGACATGATTGCGGCGATCACGAAACAGCTGTTAACTACTTACCCATGGAAATGTGCCTCGATGTGCCGAAAAAGAAATAGACCAATGCCGGGAAGAATGAGGTATAAAGACCGATGACTGGTGGTAGTGTAGCGAGCATAGCGTAGGCCATTCCTGAGTGGAACAGATGGGATAACAAAAGGATGAGCACGCAATAAAAAGGCTTTTTCAAAGTAAACAAAGATCAAAGTTTTGTATGTGTGTCGGTCAGACATGGTCTAGAGGAAACTTAAATACGGACCAGAATGCTTCAGATCATTTCCTAAATGGCATCAAAACAAAACAGAACTGATAAGCGTGGAATAACTTTGCGCATCATTCGTCTAACTATCTTAATTGTGCTCATTTGTTTGAGATCGATCGATGAAGTCGAGCGAATTAAGGTTACTCGGTTTTGATTCTGACCAACCCCTGTCGGGTGGAGCTAGTTAAACGGTACGAGCCACTGTCCAATGGACTCGGAAGCCACGTTTTTGGGTTTCATGAGCCCCATGTAACATCACCATCCGCTTGTGTCTGCTTGTACACTTTGATTGAACGTAATCCCTTTGTTAAAAAGTGGTTATAAAATGCGACATTGCATAAACAGAAGCAAAAAGTACACAATTAGCTTGATGAAAAGTGCATATTTGGTAGGTTTGATGAGTTTACCTTGTACAAATGAGGTATGTTAACGTAACCATTCGTTTTTAACGGCATCTTTAGTAGATTGTACTGAGAGGTTTAGTGAGACAACTATACGAAACTAGTGATACAGTATGCTATCAGTAAAAATTCCCAGAAAGTCACCCCGCGCGAGAAGCGCTCTCAGGTTGTGTGGCTGCAAAAAATGTTTGAACATCCAGTCTGATTCATTTGCGAATAAACCAGCTGATGAATCCAAATGAGGTCAAAACAGTGTTCCAGGGCTTCATAGTTTTTCAGTTCATGTTTCATTTGTTCTTTACACAATAAAACTTATCACATAAATCCAGATAGTTGAATATTTCGACCAATTTTTGTTGCTTCATTACCCATCACAGTGTGATGAACACGGTTTGGTTATGAAAACCGGAAAACCAATCCCTGGGATCTGGACCGGCGAACTGTACAATATTGATTTGAAAAGACCATTCTTCAAACTTTATTATTACGCACAATCGTCAGTTCTTCTAGTCGGCTACACACTCGGAAGCACTGAACTCGAGATCCGCCCTCATTAGCGCCAAAAACTATGGAAAACCGAGTCTAGTGCTTCCGAGGGTACGGTTGACTAGTGGGTCTGAAGATTATGCGTGAAACTGAGTTCGAAAAACGGTCGTTTCAGATCAGTATCAGTCATCCCAAACCACTTCTCATAGGTAACTGTGATTTAAATCTTAACTATATAATAATCAATTGGTATACGCTTAAGGTAAGCGGCCTAATGATGATCGTATAATAATTGTCCACGCTTGAATCCTACGAGTCATTGTGAATCCAAGACAAGTAAAGATGAATAACACAGTTGCGTAATACCACACGCCTTCCTAAGGTAAACAATGTTTGCGGTCTACAATTAATCCGCTTTCGGCCTATTTCGTCCAGATGACAAATTGCAGTTCAGGCCTTAACAAGTTAACTGGGACCGTTGTATGAGTGTACCAGTGACATTTCTGGGACACAAGTTTGATCAGTGGATATTGCGAGTACTTTCACTGCTCACAAGACGGAACAAACCGATTCCCAGGCCAAAGTCACAAAGATAAAAAACATACGGTTGGTGAGAGATTTGAATAAAAATACCGACATCCGTTTGCCCGAAGAACCGCTTTCATTCATCGAAAGGTTTTTTATTATTTTGAATCAAAAATAACCATCTTGTGAGACTGATGTGTTTACGCATCGAACTTGAGCAGGTTGAAGAAGTCAATGAATCAGTGTTTTATTTGTTTAAATGTACGTAAGTGTTTTGCTGTAACACGACGTGTACCGTTAATCGTCTGACACATTTGAAATACGTGCAGTTTCGGAAACGAGTACAGAATCAGTGTGGTGCACATTGGGTGCACAAAAAGTGCGCCTCACCGGTTTGGCCAGAAACGATGCCGAGTATTTATAACAACCTAGATTGACACGAGCGCTTTCCAACAGAATAAGAGCGTGTCACAATCGGCCTTGTACATGGGACAAAAATGAATCCATTAACATTTTTAGGGATGAAACTAATGCATCCCCGGCCTCGATGTAATAGCCACAGATGACTCCGAATAGATGCGCAAGAGTAAAAAGCAATATCATCAAAGGTTACAGTGGATTCTTTCGGGTAACTTGCTCCCCTACATCTCGAACGCAAATGTTTGCATGACTTCATTCTCACATGAGTAACTCATGTTTCTATTGTTGACCGCCCACGGACACATCAATCGAAAAAGATAAGTAGAAAGTGATATTCAGGATCATTTCTTTGATCTGAAGAGAGATAAGACAACCAAGATTAAATACCACCGATCAATAGAGAATATAATAGGAATTCGTTTCCCATTTCCGTTAGAAAGAACAGATGTTTCCAGGCACGAATTATAAGCCAGTGTATCTTACATTCGAACCAAACCGGCACACTTTCTAGCTATTAAACATTAGGTCACTTCATCAATCTATATCCATTCATCTGCACTTTTTCCATCAATCACAAGATGATGAGACGATCGGGGCTCTTGTCACAGTTTTGAAAGACCCATAATGCATTTGTTGATTGATAGCTTAAACAACGGCAGACAATCCCAGAAGCTCCAGGGTATCATTTCAAAGAATTACGTAAGATTTCTTACGACCAAGGTAACTGTAGCAATTGGAATTATGAAACCCCAAACCGTGTGGAAAAACTTACCTGATGAGTCTGCTGATGTAACTGTGACCAGAGAATGTTTGAACAGCGTGTTTCCATCACATGGGCCAGATTCCAACCTCAGACATCAACCTTGACCTTCGGGTTTCTTTCTTTTCTACCTTTTTCACTCTCCCACATTATGGTTTAGAATTGGATGACCTGCAGTTCACACCGTGAGACCAACATGTTGTGTCAGCTCGCTGAAAAGCGCCGGAGTTAGGCACTTAACCTACGGCATTAAGCACGCATCCAACTATTATTGTCCTACCTGATACATCCCCTCACAACGGCTTTGTCCGGGTTGATTCGACTGAAAATACAGACTCACTTGTCGAAGACTGATTATTCGGATTACTACCAGGAATCTAATGGTGTAATTCGAAAAGGTTCCATGAGCAAACGGTGATTGGGCTTGCCCAGCGTGACATTTGGACAATCGCAGGGTGATAATTAGAATGTGAGAAATGCTCTGAATCGGGTCTGGATTTTAGCAGCTTGAAAACGATAAGCATTCTGATGAACACCACCGATTTCTTTCAAATACAAGCATAGATGATGATGATGACGATGATGAAAAAGTGTACTATTTAATCATGCACACGGTAAGGTTCTTACAGGAATCGGAACTCGAAGGCTGTTGTATGCGTTATGCAAAACCTTTTTATGACAAGTACATGAAAGCGGAAACCAGATGAGGTTTAGATGGCATCTCGCTCGACAGGGGAGTGAACCTTGAGCGAGAAAGCCAGAGACTACAAGCGAGAGAAGACTGTGCACCTGTGGTCCGTCTCGGCAGCGACAAAAGGTGGTGCTCGAAAACTTGTTTTAAGCGCATATTCACAGATGCATGTGGGGAGTGCATCCGTAGCGTTTTAAAAGTGGTGGTGTGAAAGGTCGTATTTAGATAGGAGAGCTGTTGTGGATTTGTGTAGCTCACTATAGAGTAGTTCATGATTAGTAAAAGAAACAACTCAGTATTCAGGTACTTTTTTCCCGTCTTGAGTGATAACCAGGGAGAACTCAATTTCACATTTGCTTTGTGCTCATAATTTCAAAACTTCTTTGCAGATTTTAGAATGGTGGAAAATGGAAGCATGGCTTGGGAGGTATCTACATTGTCATGGAGACTGATTGTTCATTTATAAGAATTGGAAAACAGTACCCTGGGATTCAGAGTATAACACTGGGAAACCGCCTTGTAATCCAGGTGAGGAGTGGATAGCAACTTCAGATAACCTCAAAATTGGGTGTCAATGATACAGTGTGAACCGCGGACAATTGCATTGGTGCTCACTAGTGCTATAAACCGTATACACTTAACCTCCTTCATCCATTCCGAAATAATACTTTCTTACTTACAGATCACACGGAAAAGGGAGGTACATTTGGTCAGAAAATCAATCTGCACTCACCTTGAGGTACATGCATTATCCCGACGGTAATACCGGCGATCAAATCATTGACGAACGAGTTCTTCACATCGTATTTGCGAAGTGTTGCAATGAACGGGAAGAAGCTGACTAACCAAGTGGCAAACACACGGGCAGATTGTTTGCGCACTTGTTTTGATTGATCATCTGACGAGTGGTCTGCTGGGTACTCATCCGCACGCTTCCGTGAGAATTTTGACTTCAGACAATCCGGGGCAAAAAATCGGGCGGTTTGTCGAGCTGCTTTCCTCAGCTGAGCAAGTGCACTGGGCGGTTTGGGTGAATCCCCGCGACCAAGCCATTCATTCAAACGCTGTTGCGTTAGCACGGACCGATCGATATGCAACGGATAATCAGGTTGATCCTGTTGTGCGTTTCGAATCACTTCAAACGATCGGGACATTTGAAAGCTGAAATAGAACCGAGCAAGACACCATGAGTGGCACAATCTCCATCATCACTCATGTCTGTGGGTTAATTAGAGCCATAGAATTAGCGAGCAAATGTCCTTCGGATTGCAGGTTTGAATGCACATTCAAAAATAATGAACATATGAATGATAAATCCGTGTAACAAGCAACTCAGTCGGATAAAAAGATTCTCAGCAGTATAAATAATTTACTTCACGAAAATCAACCATGTTTCTAAATTATTTTAAACAAAATGAAATGAATTCTAGGGACAGAAAAAAACGGTTGACAGCTGCAAACTTTGCCAGTCACATAAAACCATCAAATTGAGATAAATACCGCAAGCTCAAATATATTCGTCGACCCTTATTTGCAAATGGTCACTGGAATGGAGCGGGGGTGAGGTGGACTGACAGAACTACCATCATCTCACACTCGCGCCCCCCTCCATCAGGCCTCTGGCGTTTTCACTGGCTCGGCTGCTTCCACAATGCTCCTGCGTATATTCTCATCTTGTGCAAATAGGGGATTAATGCACGAAAATATCGGTACCAGTTATGATCAATCGTTTTGTGTTGCATGTGAAATGATTTTTCGTGGATATTCAGTGAGACCGAATGGGAGTATCACACGCATTGGCTGAATTAGCTGCTCTACGAGACTGTGCTGGTCGAGTACGGAAAAGCTCCTCTGATTTGCTTCTGTCATGAAAATATAGGATGTTAGGTTTTTTAAAACCAACGATCAAGTTGTTTGACTGCAAATGTGTGCGTTCACTCAAAGGACGTTGACAGACCGTTTTTTCGACATGTTTTATAATGCACTCATAAAACTCTGTTAACTGATCCTTAGTTTGTCGACTCAGTTGGAAAAATGTAAAAATACAGCAAAAAATTGGATCCCTAATGAGTGCATGTACTCATGTAGGTTGTAAACAGGCGAGTAGAACGAACACTGATGCAAAGGATGCCAAAGCTTATGTAAAATATACCCCCCTCCCAAGCTGTCATTAAGGGAATAAGAAAAATGGCAGGTCATACAATAGAAATATTTCACATCTGTTTCGAGTAAATGATAGTGCTAATGAAGTTCAACCGGTGGAAAGTTTTCAATCAAAAACAGCAGAAGTAAAAGAATCAAAACATGAAGTTAAATCACTATGGTAGGGCTAGATCCAGCGCTCAAGGACTCTGTTCTTTTGAGCGGTAAGTATTAGATTATCACTTATTAATCTGAAATGTTTTTCAATTCCCATCTGGAACATAAGCAAACAAATATATTGTGCGACCGTTATAAATTACCCAAATTATGCACACGTTTACACGGAGCGAATTCCTATTGAACTGGAAAAGGATGAATTTACTTTTTATCAACTTACTTGTTTTAGTACAGGCCGATTGTGATGCACTAAAATATTTTTTAATGTTAAAATTGAGTTCCATTACATTTAGCACCTATAATAATACTTCAGTCTTTGACAATAAATTATATCTTTTCTACTTCGATCTACGTAATTTTTTGTCTGCATGGGTGTCAATTAAACGTGCCCGACCTTGGTTGCCAATATAAAATAATCTCAACATGAAAGTCGCAAGCTTTATCAAGTGTAAAAAAGCAATATTTTCTTATAGGAATGACTCAACACCCTTGCCATCTCCGTAGTTTGTTATGATGCATTTTTTATCCGACATATCATTCACTGTAGCAACTCTATTGAATAACCAAATGAACTTTTTTCACAACCCGAAGAAATTGCGTTATACAAGGTTTCATAATAATTATCTGTATTTGATATCTAAGTCACCGAATTCCAGAAATACCATTTTAATGAAAGTCAACCTTGAAATCAAGGTCATTTTTCCATTCCGAATACGATGAACCATGCAGAGGGTAAACCCTATAGGGCCTTGGGAAACCTGTTCACTTCGCATAACCCGCAATGCATGCCCGTCAAGATCTCAATAAGGCAACCGTGGTTCGGAGCTGAGAGACTTTGACCCTGCTTAACACCATATTTCGGTGGGGGTGGCAGGGTTCGAACCCCAAACCTGAGGGCCCGAAGATTTTTATTTTTTACACACATCTGAATCTAGACTATGGGTCAAGCAAATCATGTTTCAATAATATTTATGAAAGTAAAAGTTCCATGAGTTGCACGTGGACGGAAAACTGCCAGGTTACCCAGGCCAAGACAGATGAATTTTCTTGAGGAATCCACAACCGTAGCCTTTGGCTAGCCAAAACCTGACCTGCAAGACAGTGGGACGGTGTGTGAAAACCGTAATCCATTAGGAGCCGATGTCAAGTTTATCGGATCACACGCCCTTCGGGCGGGGTGAAACGTCCAAGGTACCCAAAACACCTCCATGCCCAATTGCGCCGGTGACCGTTGCCACAACCAGTAAGTTGTGTGTGTGGTTCGTACGCCTCCTCATGGTTGGTTTGGAATCAGGGTTTTTGGTCAACTTCCCTAGGTGAACTACCAATGGTCCACCAACCTGGTTATAGCCTCGGATGTCGGCGTTCTGTCCTCTCGCTTCGGTGGGGAAAAAACACTGCCATGAGAAGGAAGTGAGTAGGGCTTCCTCAACAGAGACTATGTGAGACGCTTGGTCATTTCGCTAGGTACAAGGGAAGGGTGACTAGCCGCAATTTTAGACACCCATCCCCGACCATACTGAGGCTTTTGGAGGGCCCGAAGAACAACAGTGATAGTGATCAAAGTGTTTGATTATCACCAGCTGAATTTAAAAATGCTCCATCGTGTATTTCTCAGGTGATTGAAAGAATACGTACGTGGTGGCAACCGGACGACACCTTTTCAGATCACAGGTGCTAAAGAAATCCTTATAAAGTTACAATTGGACGGCTAAGAATAAGGGTTCATATATTGAGGAAACCAATCAATTAGCCAGAGATAATAGGTAATATGAGCCGTACGCGTTCCTACGTGTGACGATAGGAATCATAAAAATACTTGGGTCTCACACACGCAAATGATGCGACGCATGTTCTGGTCTTGACGTCAAAACCACAAAGGTTCCTTGCCCCAGCCTTGTTAACATCACCTGAATCGACTACACCGGTAAAAGTTAGAAACACGCACACACACAAAGCGCACGTAGATACTAGCAAGTATTGAACAGATGATGTTCAGAAAAAGGAAGACTGATCGGATTTTGTAAGTAATGCAAAATAGATTGTTTTTTTGTTGAATCCAAGGGGTTTTTCGCCTTCCAGGGCTAATTTCGTTTTGTGTGTGTACACGTTTCTCCACCGAATCTTTTTGGAGACGCTAAGACGTGATACGAAAAGCGCAAAACGTCTGGTGTGACTCGATTTCACTTAGACGGAACAGAATCAGAAGAAGCAAACAATGTTCCACACAATGATATAGGAACCCTGTTCGCTTCTTATTATTGCTTGTCCAGTTACGCAATGCTTCTTCCCTAACATCGAAATTTAAATGCCAACATGAAGCCACCAAACCCATTCTCTCACTTTGCGATGTGCCCAGATTATTCAGAAACTTTTGGAATCTGAGTGATGGAAACATATTCCCGGCTCAAGATGTTATTTTCAGCCTCGAAAGAGAGTGCTCAGCAAGTTGCCCCAAAATGAAAAACCTTATGAGATTATTTTTAAAATAACCTAAAACGGTCTATTACTTTATAGTTCTCCTTGGCATGATTGCAAACTATGGTCCAGTACATGCCTATGCTGATGTCTCAGAGAAATAAAATCAAACTCATTATTGTCATTTCGATAAACCAGTGCGTAAAGTGATTGGCTCAACCAACTGATGTTCACCAATTTTAAAAATCTTCAGTGTTCCGCAGTTAGGATAAACGTGGTTTTCCGATAGTCAGAGATCAGATTAGAATGTGTGATCTACTGAAGGTCTGGTTTTATTTGGATGCAGATCGGGAATCGGATAAATATTAAGATACAATGCACGGGAGAAGCAATTTTAAACAACGTAGTAACACGTTCTGCTTAGTTGCCTGACAGATTGGTTAGAAGTACTGGTGAAATTTTCAGTCCGCCATTGGTCAAAGCTAAAAAGCTTACATGACTCTTTTGGGCCCGAGTATCTTTACAGTCGATTTGTATCCGCGGTTTCGTTCATGCTGACAGTTTCTGATGGCCAGAGTGATTCGATGCAGATGTGCAGCGCGTTTCACATCGCATCAGGAAAGTGGTAGCTAGAAAGTACAAGATATTTTCAATGTACCAATGGCAAAGGGGATTAACTTTGACGTCTAACGGATTGAAGAGGCACGCGAAAGGTTTGGGTTTACCGAAGGGCCATGGACGCCAAAACAATGGGCTTATTCACTTTGCTGAGAGAGAGCAGGCTGAAAACTAGAACGAACTGGTTCAGACTCCGCATCTCTTTTGACTCGCCTACTGGTTACAGTGTCCATTAAAAAGACTACACATGATAACTACTACACACAGCACGCATTGCACGAGAAAGATTGATTCACAGAAATCATAAAAATAACTTATTGTTAAAGGTTGCAGAAAAGTTCACGTTTTACGCTCTCTCGAGCTCAGTTTGTGAGCACACCTGTAAGAGAAGGCTCACAGTTGAATTTCGGTGAGCGTTTACATGGGATCGTGTGGGTCGGAATTTAGTGCCTGCGGAAGGATGTAGACGAGAGCATTTGATTTACGCGTGCTTAGGGTCTTCAAAAATCCTTCCCTTAAAGTTCACGAGAGAAGTTCTTCGATGATCTGATAGTTTGACAATCAACTTCAACACTCCTCTTGTTTTAATTTTATGAAACAATGCCACTCAGAGGAAAGTTAGCTATTTGAATGATATGAGTATGGATAAATTGATATACGCACACCGATAAAGTATCATTCCGACAAGCAGGCGGGGTAATTCATGTAACAGTCTGACGATTGTTTTGCATTTTCCCTAGTTTCAATTTTGAACACACCAATTCACTCCAGGAGGTATTGTTCATTTTTTGACCGTCGC